AAAAATCGAAGAGCCCCCCCCCCCCCCCCCGGGGAAAAATTCTGAAATAACAACTGGACTTGACTTCATCACAACAATACTCCAAGAGTCAGTTTGACACATAACAAGACATGCATCATAAACCAACACTATCAACTTATAACACACATTTAGAGTCATCTCACTGATGAACACTTGCAGTCCATCATGATAATCTGAATGACACAGAACGTTACTCCGAACATAAACGAACTGACTTGTTTTTGTAGCCAAGAAAAGGTGCCAAACATCCAGCTCTGACCAATTGGCATCAGAACGAAAATGGGTAAGCCAATGATTCTTAATTGTTAAAACTTTTTCTGTTTTAATTTATATAAATTTAAAAAAAGATTTAATTTTCCGCTTATTGAATGTTTATCCTGTTCAGCCTGCAACCTTACATGTGATTTTAGTTTTGGCCCACGAGCGATTGAGTTTGACAACCCTAAGGCTTAGGGGATCGAACGACCCTTTCACAGGGGTCGCCTAAGACCATTGGAAAATACATACACTCTACAGTTATGAAGTAGCAGCGAAAATGATTTTGTGGTTGGGGGTCTTAACATGAGGAACTGTATAAAATGGTCGCGGCATTAGGATGGTTGAGAACCACTGTTCCAGATGTTCATACACACTTTACAGAGGTTCGTCACGACTCATCAAAGAGTTTCAAAAGTTATGCTAGTTTTATTGACTCCAGCAAGGTTGCTGCTTCGACTGCGAGTTTTATCAACTTGTCACCAAGATCCTGTTGCTCCAAGAAGAGGTCTACCTCCAGAGGTAGCTCTAAAAAAAAAGATGAGAGCATCTTTGACGACTTTCACTAGAGTTTTACTTCCTGTAACCTTGCCGTATGTTCTCAAGACTCCAACAGGTGTCTTACTACCAAGATCCAAACTTTCTACATCAGAAACTCCTGATGCTCATCAAGAGTTTATACCTCTCATATCTGAAAGGTTATTCTTCCAGTCTTCGACGCATCGCGATTGTACTGCACACAGGTGCTTCACGGTCCTTACTACTTTACGGTTTACTTCCCTTTCCTTTCAGTGGCTATCACCGACACTCACTGAAGGACTTTTGGACTGTGACTTCAAGTTTAAAACTTAACTGTTTAATTCCTATAATTTGGCTAAATCTCATTTAAAAGATATTCAATCAAAAATAAAAGTTTGGTACGGTAAAAAGGCCAAAATCAGAATGTTTGCTTCAGGGGACAAAATGTTTGTTCTTTTGCCGTTACCCTCCCTTGACACGGCACTGCGGCCAACCTGTGAGTTGAAATTGCTTAACGGGGTTACGCTGCCTGCACAAATTAAACTTTTTAAGATCGGGCGAAAATCTAAACACCATTGGTACACAAGAAACAAATGCATTCGCTGATGAGGAACAGCAGAAGTCATGGGCAATAGGAATCATGGCCAATAAGAATCATGGGCTGTAGGAATTATGGGCAAAAGGAATCATGACCAATAGGAATTATGGGCTGTAGGAATCATGGGCAATAGGAATCATGGGCAATAGGAATCATGGGCAGTAGGAATCATGGGCAGTAGGAATCATGTGCTGTAGGAATCATGGCCATTAGGCATGGGCGCCCGCAGAAAACTTTCTAGGCGGGAGGGGGCAAAAAAAATCGATTAACTTTCTGGGGGGGGGGGCAAACATTTTTTAGTAAAGTTTTAATATAGTTTTAATTTACTGTAGCATATTTGTATGGTGAACGAACGGACAGGACATCAGCTTAGTTACTTTCTCTTTATTTTCTCTGTACTTTAATACATTTTTTATCTATTTTTGTCTAAAATTTTATTATCCAATCAATCCAGGGGAGGAGGCAAGTGCCCCCCCCCCCACTTGCCCCCCTGCGGGCGCCCATGCCAATAGGAATCATGAGATTTTTTTCTTATTTTTGTATTAAATTTTAATATCCAATCAATCCGGGGGAGGAGGCAAGTGCCCCCCCCCCACTTGCCCCCCTGCGGGCGCCCATGCCAATAGGAATCATGAGCTGTAGGAATTACGGGCAATACGAATTATGGCCAATAGGAAACATGGACATTAGAAATCATGGGCAATAGCAATCATGGCTAATACGAATGATGGGCTGTAGGAATCATGGTCAGCATAAGTCATGGACAGCAGGTATCAGGGTCAGCGGGTATTAGAGACAGCAAGAGTCAAGGACAGTAGGTACCAGGTACAGCAGGAATTAGGAACAACATGTAACATGTGCAGTATGAGTCATAGGCAGCAGAAGTCCTAAGACAGCACGACACAGGAGGGAAACCCAGAAATCAATAGCCAGATTCAGTGCCATCGGCGACTGCAGATCACTTAGATCAACTTAATATTGGCCAAAGGCTATGCCATGATGACGCAGGGATGTCAAATATGGGGATGAAAATAAATAGTAGAACATAGAAAAAAAACAACAACAAGTGTTCAAAGAGGATATCATACACCGTGTAACAATTCAAAAATATAAATATTAAAAAAAATTTATATTTCAGATGACACCAAATCTTCAAAAGGCAAGGCAGTGGAAGAAGCCAGCACGAAGAGACATAAATAAAAATAGAGGAATGCTTCTGTGGCAGTGAAATTGTCATCTTGTGTTAACTTCTGTTTATTTTCTTGTTACGGTATGATTATATTTAACGACATTCTATGTTGTGTAGTGGTGTGCTTCTGATGAGGGCAACGCGTCGTTTGGACTTTTCAAAGATGAGCAGCTTATGATTACCTAAATTTTTTATTCATGTTTAGTCCAAACGGTGAAGTGTTTGGTCTCTCAAGGGAAATATTTAAGATTATTCTTTTAACCATGTCCTGACTTTTTTGGTAAGGACTTCTTTGAATATTCAGATTAAAGCCACACACAAATAATAAAGTAATATTTTAGTTTGAGATTAGTGAATAATAGGGTCTTTAACAAACATGTCATGCAACCTTGTGGGGGGCCTTTCTAGGTTTTGAACTATTTTTCGAATGACATCTTTAATAACATTTCCCATTGGGAGGGGGGTGGGGGTTGGTGGGGGGCATGATATATACTTTTATAAACTATGACCGCCTCATGGTGATAGACCAAACGTGAACGACAAGGTGCCAATTTAAAAGAAGATCTGACACGACGTTCCAACATCTCCAAGTTGTCTCCTCCTCCCCACCATCTCTGCCCCGGCCTTACAATAGTTCTGTTACTGACAACGAACAGTGTTAGACAATGGTTTCAAAGAAGGAAAATCGATTTGGTAATTCTGTTTGTGTTATCTAGTTACGCTGCCTTCCACGTCACAGGAAAGTATTGTTTGTTATAAAAAATAAATAAATTTTTCTACATCTTAAAATAGGAGTTTGTTATTGAAAAAGTGGGGGGGGGCACATCCAATATTAGGGGAAGAATAAGGGGAAAAAATTGTTTGCATCTCAAAGGTCCTCTCCTGCTTCTTTAATAAAAAATAAATAAATTTTTCTACATCTTAAAATAGGAGTTTGTTATTGAAAAAGGGGGGGGGGGCACATCCAATATTAGGGGAAGAATAAGGGGAAAAAATTGTTTGCATCTCAAAGGTCCTCTCCTGCTTCTTTTAAACTCAAGGATCCCGCCCCCCCCCCTTTTTTTTCCGGTGAGGGATTTTTCAATTTAATTTGTACATGCTCTCTAAATAATAGAAAGGTGATTAGCTAACTTTAATTTAAAAATGAAAATGTTAACATTTAATCAACATACCATTTTTTATAACTGAGTCAATATTAAAGGTTGGGTCAGGTTTTTAAAAGTGGTTTATTTCCATAGGGCCCTTCGATTGTTGGGTCATGTTTTTAAATGTGGTTTATTTCCATAGGGCCCTAAGATTGTTGGATCAGGTTTTTAAATGTGGTTTA